GTAATGAAGAAGATGGTTCCTTTTCCAACATCTAAATGGGAATCAAACAGGAAAAAACGTTTTAACATTACTGCTCTCTTACATACAGTGCAACTCCTCCACCTTTTCTCTCCCGCCAGTCCTTCCTTAACAGTTTATACCCATCCATGACAGTGCACCAGTCATGTGAGTTACCCCATCAAGTCTCGGTTATTCCAATCACATCACAGTTCCCCGACTGTGCCAGGACTTCAATTTTTCCTGCTCATTTCCCAGGCTTCTTGCATTTGTGTACAGGCACCTAAGATTACTAGCCGATTGTCCTCCTTTCTCAGTATGAATCTGGAGGCCTCCCCTCTTGCACCCTCCTCCTTGTGTTTCCTCCCGGTATCCCACTTACCTCTTGGCTTAGGTCACCATCCCCCAATGAACCTAGTTTAAAGCCCTCCTCACTAGGTTAGCAAGCCTGCCTGTGAAGATGCTCTTCCCTCTCTTTGTTAGGTGGATCCCATCTCTTCCTAGCAATCCTTCTTCCTGCAACAATATCCCCTGGATGAAGAATCCAAAGCTCTCTCTCTGATACCACCTACGTAACCACGTATTTATCTCCACGATTCAATGGTCCCTACCAGGGCCTTTTCATTCAACAGGGAGGATGGACGAGAACACGACTTGCGCCTCAAACTCCTTTATCCTTCTTCCCAGAGCCACATAGTCTGCAGTGATCCACTCAAGGTCATTCTTGGCAGTATCATTGGTGCCCGCGTGGAGAAGTAGGAAGGGTCTTGTTCAATCTCGGCAGACAGGCCATCACATCCTGATCATACCAAGGGATGCATCGGCAACAAAATTCTAGCTCCAGGCAAGCAGCACACTTCTCATGTCTCCCAGTCTAGATGGCAGATGGATGACTCCGTCCCCCGTAGAAGGGAGTCCCTGACCACCACCACCTGTCTCCTTCTCTTGGGAGTGATGGTCGTGGAACCCACATCCCTAGGACAATGCATCCCATGCCTTCCAGTTGATGGGGTCTCCTTCTGATCCCTTCCCTCAGAAAATTCTACCAAATCATTCTCCAACTGTGCAGAGAGCCTAAAAGTGGTTTCTTACCTCTATCTGCATTGGGGGTGCATGGGTTTTCCTCTTTCTTCTTCTGGAGATCATATGCTGCCAATTTTCTTCCCTGTTCTGCACTGCCCTCTCTGATTCTTCAGCATGCTGTGCCTTCAGTACCAAATGCTGACTTCTAATCAGAAAGTCTTCATTTTCTCTGATTCAATGCAGGGTTGATACTTGGGTCTCTAGTCCTTTAACCTTCTCTTCCAATATGGACCTTGTCCTGAGTGCGCTTGCACTTCGCACAGATGAAGTTGCTTCTATCCTTTGGGAGAAAGACAAACATGGCCCATCCTGTGCAGGTTACAACAGCTGATCGCTCACTATCCATAATGTCTTCCTTCTAAGAGCCTCTTCAGATGGTGTACTTACTGCTCACAGAAGCCCGAAAGACAAAAACACTCTGTGGAAACTCCCGCCAGGTGAACTTCCAGGCAAACTCCCTCTGTTTGCCAGTCCTCGGTTCGCATCTGGCTGCCTTTTTATAAGGCTGCTGGCTCAAAGCAGTTGGCCTGGCTCAAAGCCTTCCCTCCAATCAACCACTCAAGGCCCACCTGGAACAAAGTACTCCCAATTTACACTTTTCGAGCAAACAACCACATGCCAAACAGTCACACTTAAGAGTTTCTACCCTAGGTTTTCATTTACAATCAGAGCACTAGTTCAACAAACCTGAGGAACAGAAAGCATGTGATAATCAAGTTAGTTATTCTCCTAAGTGAGAAAAGAAAACAAAAACCCTTTGTATGAGAATGCAAAGACCTCTGAGATAGCTAGTCAATTTCAGTAAACTGCTGAATCTAAAGATTTAGTTCAGCAGGCAAAGGTAGACATGATAATAGCCTCTCTTGATAAGGATATGGTTATTCTGGGTGAGAAGGGTCTCTTTCGAAAAATTGACTAGCCAGCAGAGTAAAGGGCTCTTTAAAGATACATTTTGAAGCTTCAGATGAGTATTACAACCTCTTTTGCCAGAGAGGCAGTTGCCTGTGCTAATGATCTTCAAAGGTCCATAGGGGACATGAAAATAAAATCAGTGCTGAGAAAAATATCCATAGCAGCTGCTTTTGTTGCTGATGCATCCCTTGGTATGATCATATTCTCTGCTCAAATGGTTGCTCTGAACACAGTGTCTCAGATAGTTATGGTTCCGCACCTGGAAAGAAAATAGACAAGCCAAGCAAGCTCTTTGGCAGGGAAATACATAAGATTGTTGTAGGGTCCAGTGAAAGATAAAACACACTTACTGTTTTAGAAACTAGGTCAAAATAATTTCAGACCTTTCTACAGACCGAGTACCATTTTAGGATTAAAAATCACTGGAAACACAATCCAGAAGAGCTTTTTATGATAAAGGAACGCCCTGTGCCAGAAGAAAAAGGCGATGGGGTATGCAAGATTGAAGTACAGCTACAATTCATCATTCAAGTAAAATAAGTCCAACTGTGACTTTCTTAGTCATTTCCCCATCTTCTCAACAATGATGAGGAGTTAGTGGGGAGGAGATGATCCCTCTTTCTAGAAAAGAGTGACCACAAGCAGCTGTTTTTTTAATTTATTTTTTTAATTTTCTTTTTAGTTAGAATAACAAAAGAACCCATAATCAAGCTCCTCGTGACTTACAATCATTTAAATTCACAAACTAAATATGCAGTTCAGTCAACTCACCCTTCATGCCAAAGCAGCAGCTCATAATCAAATGCTAACCACCCTGTACCTTAATACTTCTTCAAAAGCTGGATGAGACAAACGGACCCTGCAGTATGCCCTGGAAGTTGCAAATTCAGGCTGTATTGTACCAGGGGTTTAATGAGAACAGAGAATGTCCTGCCTACTCTCTATTGTATCAACTCTATTATATCAAGAAAGGATCTAGCATCAATGGCTCAGCTGAGTGTAACTGTGATAGTTTTTCACAGGAAAAGAGGTGGTCTCTTAGGTAGGCTCATCCCAGGTAATTTAAAGCTTATTAGGTCAAAACCTGATTTTGCCATATGCACAATCAAGGTTTTAGACCAAATAGGTTCATATAAGTTCAGATAAATTGCAGGACTGGATGGCTCTTGGAATTGGTTATTTGATACAAAAATTTTACTTAAGTCACAGTTCTGGGTTAGGTTGTTAATAGAGCTGTGCAGAGAATGGACATTCTGGTTCATGAAGGATTTCAAAATTTGGCTTACTTCAGAATCAGAACAAAACTGAATTTCTGAAGTTAATTTTTTTATTTTTTTATGTTATATTATAAAGTTAGAAAACAAAAACAAAAAATCAAAATGTTTCATTCAAAAAAATGTTAAAATTGGATGTTTCAACATAATTGAAACTTTTTCCACCAGTTTTCTTCTGAAATAAAATCTGGTATAATTGACCCAATTTAATGAAGTTTCTATTTCAATGGAACTGAATATTCCAACAGAATATGGCTTTGTCAGTTTCTTCAACCAGCTTTACTTGTTAATGTATCATCTCATGGCTGTTCAATGTAATAGATAAATACAAGAATAATCTCAGGCCATTGTCTATATTACTGTCAAACTTGTTAGCAAGCACTGCTCTGTATAGACTTTAGTGGTCTGCATTGAAAGTTCCCTAGTGCACTTTAATGTAATACGGTTTGAAATCACAAACCAATACCTTTCAAAACAGAATTTTTAGCTAACATGCAAGCATGCTTATCTAAATCAAATCAGTCCAAACCATACCTCTGAACTTTAGAGGTGCTGTTCAAACGGATCCATAAATTCACATTTTGAGTAGGATTATGACGTTTGTTTTAAATTTTCCATTATAAATCTAATTTTAAAAATATGCATGACTGGCTTCCTGTAGCAATATTCTTTGTGCCATATCTGAATGTGGTGTCCTTGATCCATTTATTTATGCCAAATTTTGTGGATTTAAAATAACATACAGCACACCCTTGCTATAATTCCCTTCATTATAATTAACGTTTAGCTATGATGAACACAGACCCTGGATCCCAACTACAGTACTGTACTGTTTAAAAAAAAAAAAAAGGAGGGGGGGGGATGTTGCATATGGGTGCACAGTTTTTATCCAGCCTGCCATGTGGCTAAGAGCTGAGCTGACACTCTGGACCCACTCCACTGGCAGGAGCCAACAGGCCTCATTGTGATTGTTTGTTTTTGCTATAACGTACCCCTGGCTATAATGAACAAATGGCCTGGATCCCAATAGGTTTGTTATAGCGAGGGTGTATTGCATGTCTTTTTTTTTTAATTTATTTCCCTCCCCTGTTATATAAAAAGCCCATGTAAACAATTGGACAAACTAAGTAGTAGAAATAGTGGAACTGATCCTACACAAGGTCATGTCAAATGCACAAAGCTAACAAGCTATAAAAAGAAAATCCCCTCTAATCTCAGGCACTATTTGTAATAAGTGTAGGGAAAATAATTCATTGTGATTGTTAACTTGGTGATGTCCTCTGTAACCTTTCTACACTTCTGTTTTCATCAGTCCGGAAATAGGAATAACACTTACTCCTCCAAAGGCTTAATATCATTTATAATCTTACTTTACAGACACCTAAGGGTATTGTATGAAGAATACATGGATTTTGTTACATGGTAAAGGTTAAGATAAAATGCAACATTTTTATTATTTTTAGTTCATAAATTGTATCATCCAAACGTGATCCTCAGAGAATAAAACATTATTTCTAGAGCATGATTTCATATCTGATCTCTAAAAATAGAGGCTGTGCAATAAGATTTTTGTTCTTTGAATATATTTACATGAATTTTGATGTAAAATAAGAATATAATGTTTTGGCAAGACCCTATCATCATATGTATGGGGTTATTTTTACAGTTCTAACTGAATTCTACCTCTACATCTTTTTTTTTCTCTCATTTGTTTGTCTTATACATGTTTACCAGGATAGCCCATTGGTCTTACAGTCTGACAGGAACGTAACAGTGAATGCAAGAAATCACATGGGACAGTTAACTGGACAACTGACTGTAGGTGAGTGTTCTTCTTTAAAGAAGATTATATGTATTATTTAAGTCTCATGAATAATATTTTTATTCAGTGATGTAAAATATTTATTGCAAAAGCTCTGATAATCATACTGAAGAATAACATTATGTTGGACCTGATTCAACACTCATTGGAGTCAATGGAAAGTAGAGCCAGTATAAAAAAAAAAAGAGAGAGAGAAAATGACTTTTTCATTCATCAAAATTTTTTTTTTTTCATTTTTTTTTTGTCACAAACAAATATTTCAGCAGACGGTTTTGCACAAAATGAAATTTTTCTGGCTTCTTTCAATTTTTTTCATGGAAAGTAATTATCAGTTTTCTAGCAGAAAAACTTCCATCTCTTCTGGGCTCAGAGCTGGGGGTCGGGGTGTGCCCGGCTCAGAGGGGCTTACCATGCTGCCTCCCCCTCTCCCAGAGCCTCAGCAAGCCGCGTCCAGGAGCTCCTTCCGCTCGGCCCACCGGAGCTAGCAGCCCCGCCCCCTTACCACGCAGCTCCAAGTGGGAGGACCTCAGGCCCCGCCCAAACCACGCTGCTGCAGCGCTGTCCAGGGCTGCTCCTGGACGCTGTGGGCTGAGGTGCCGGGGGATGGGGGAAGGTGAAGGCGGGGCCGGGCCTCTGACATTCTCGTGGGGACCCCTGTGGGGCCCGGGGCCTGGGGAAAATTGCCCCACTTGTTTCCCCCCCCCCCCCCCCCTTGGCAGAATGTAAATAGTGTAAACCTATTTGAAATTCTTTCCCAGATAGCAAAATGTTGTCTGTGTTGTCAGGACATAATTGTACTGTAAACATATTTCCAGTCATTAATGAAAATGTATTTGATATATCTTTATTTTACAATTGAAGTACAAAATATAAGAGCTAAAAATTCCAAATTAAATTAAAATTCAAAGTGGTCTAATGTTACTAACTTCCTAATGTAACTAATGTGTTACATTTTATTTTGATTTCCTTTTACTTTATCCTGCTTTTATTAAGTCTACTATTTTCTAAAATTTAACTATATCATAAGTATGATTTACTAAACATTAAAGCATATCTCTATTACTAATAAGGCTGTATATTTTAGTGGCGAGCATAGGACTCTCATTCATGGCCTTGAGAGTACTGATGAAAAAGATCGATACTGAGGTACCCTTTAAAATAATTAAATGTCCCAGATAGAGGATATATTACAGGGGTGGGCAAACAACGGCCCGTGGGCCAGATCTGGCCCATCAGGGCTTTGGATCTGGCCCGCAGGATTGCCACCCCCGTGGTGCTGTGCCGCTCCCGGAAGCATCCGGCACCATGTCTGGCCCGGGGGGGCAAGAGGGCTCTGTGCACTGCCCTCGCCTGCAGGCACTGCCCCCCCACACCAGCTCCCATTGCCTGGGGACAGGGAACCGCAGCCAATTGGAACTTCAGTGGAGGTACCCGCAGGAGGGCAGCACGCGGAGCACTCTGCTCCCCGCCCCCTCCTGCAGGGACGTGGAGCCAGCTGTTTCCAGGAGCTGCATGGGGCCAGGGCAGGCATGGAGCCTGCCTCAGCCCCACTGCACGCTGCTGCCACCCCGGGAGCCACTCCAAGTAAGTGGCGTCGGGCCGGAGCCCACACCCGAAACTCCTCCTGCATCCCGCACCCGAACCCCCTGTCCTAAGCCCCCTGCCGCACCCCAACCCCCTGCCCTGAGCCCTCTCGTACACCTTGCACACCTCCTGTGTCCCAACCCCTTGCCCTGAGCCCCTTCCTGCACACCGCACCCCCTCCCACATGCTGCACTCCCTCCCGCACCCCAACCCCTTGCCCCAGCCCTACATTCATGGCCCTGCATGCAATTTCCCCACCCAGATGTGGCCCGTGGGCCAAAAAGTTTGCCCACTCCTGATATATTAGAAGGAAAGTAAATGTATACTGGCTGGGAAACCAAAAGTTTATTGGTTTTCCTTTAACAATAGTTCTGACTTTTTTGATATTGTTGCCTTAAAAATCTCTTGATCCTGTCTATCACAAATCTTGCCATGGGGAGGGTAGAAGAAAAACAAAAACCTCTACACTCTGTTAGTAATTGCTATATAGTGTTAGTGTTGTTATTAACAGTTTTAATAGATTGTTCTACTATACAGGATGCTGTAATAAAAAGTTTTTCATGAAAGTAATATTTCTGTCTAGGGTTTATATCATTGATGTTATCATAAAATATTGCTGTCATCTTGTCTATGTAGTAAACCTTTTGGATAAAAGAATCTTGTGTTCCCCAGGAAAAGGATATTAAAAAGGGATTTTTTAAATAAAGAACTCTTCTGTCTCATGTTATGAAACCTAAGATGTATTCAACCTGGAGAATCAATATACTATATATTCTATGGGAAAAGAATATGTCCAAATGAATGTTGTCATATTCTTTATAAATTCAAGAAGAAATAACACAAAATATTGAGTAATGTTAAACTATTCAGAATGTTGTATTTATAACTTTATAGAAGTTTTTACTAGAGGTTGGGAATTTTTCAACAAAATATTTTTTGTTGGAACAGCTATTTGTTTAAAACCAAAATTTTTTGCAGAAACATTATCTGCAAATTCTACGATTTTTTATTGCTTATGAGTAAGGCTACGATTTAGTCATGAGTATTTTTAGTAAAAGTCATGGACAGGTCACAGGCAATAAACAAATTCACGGACCATGACCTGTCCATGACTTTTACTAAAAATACCCATGACTAAATCTTAGGGGGGGATGGTACTGGGGGGCAGCGCCCTGGGGGGATGGAGCCAGCAGCACCAGCTGCTGGGGGCCATCAGGCATCAGCTGCTCTGACCACCTTGGGACACCTGCTCAGGCAGTCCCCAGGGCCAGCCACACAGGGACGCCCAAGTAGCTGGCTGCAGAGCTGCTCCAGCAGCAGCCGGTGTGGCTGTCCCTGAAGCCATCTGAGCAGCTGTCCCCAGAACCAGCTGCTTGGGCAGCCCTGGGGTCAGCCACACTGGCTGTTGCAGAAGTCCCGGAAATTCACCAAATCCGTGACTTCTGTGACAGATGTGGAGTCCTACTTATGAAAGCAAAATGCTGCCTCTTCCCCATTTCATTGAAAGCAAAGCACACATTACCTTTCAGTTAGAAGTTTTGCATTCCTAAGAAAACGGTTAAGCTAACATTTCAGAGGTGAAAAAATAGCCATTCAGAAATACAGTTATGTCAGTTTCTTCTCTCCACCCAAAAACATCCATATGTAAGTCCTAACAATTTTTAAAATTAGGAAGGGCATTTTTTATCTTTTTTTTGTTAGATGAAAGATACTATAAAATATCTGCATTTAATAGCTATAATCCTGACTTGGCAATTTTGACGGCTCCAGGCACCAGCGCACCAAGTGCGTGCCTGGGGCGGCAAGCCGCAGGGGGCGGCCTGCCAGTCGCTGTGGGGGTGGCAGTCAGGGAGCCTTCAGCGGCATGCCTGTGGGAGGTTTGCCATTCCCGCAGATTTGGCGGCAAGTACGCCGAAGCCGCGGGATCGGCAGACCTCCCGCAGGCATGCCACCGAATCCGCGTTACCAGCGGACCTCCCACAGGTGCGCCGCCGAAAGCCACCTGACTGCTGTGCTTGGGGCGGCAAAATACATAGAGCTGCCCCTGGCAGTGTATTAGATTATATTTACATTAAATAAATCTGTGTTGTAGTTATATCCTACTCCAATGATAAGGCTTTCTGTTACAAAGCTCTGGTAGCAGGCTTCTGTATCTTCTTGGAGTCCTCATCTTAAATGCATCATTTTTACATCTTTTACAAAACTTCAGTATGTTTGTCTCCAAAGATATTTCCAGTAGATTATCACATTCAGTTTCCACTCTCTTTCCATAGTAGATATTATTTTAGTTCCTGCAAGAAAAGTGGTTAAACATCTCTTGGGATGAAAAGCAGCCATTAGTAAATTATCTCCTCCGTTAGGCAATTCTACATACTACTTGAATATTTGAACTATGCATTTGGTATCCACAAATTTACTTTTAAATAGCACAAAATAATTAATAATAATAATAACCTACCAGTGATTGCCCATTGTATTATACAACAAAACCACAAGATATAGAGAAAAAATTGAAGTGTGGGGTTGTGAGTAAGGAGAAAGTTAGAGTAGTAATGAGGAATGTTTTCATTTATTAGCTTTACTTCAGAATAACAGAACTTCCCCCATACTGCAAAGATATGGGCATGTAATGGAAATGTTTAATGTGTAGTTAGATAAGAAACTTTGATATTCTACTGTTCATGAGCACCAACAGAAAAACGAATATGGGATCCGCTCTATGCCGAGTCTGAGCCATGGTCTTGACTCTCTCAAATCATCAGGCTTCCACAGAACTCTAAAGCAATCAGTGTTTAATGGGATTTGGAATCTGTGTCTTGAAGAAGGACTCTAACACTTCGCTTTTCTCACAGTGATATTTTTTCATTTTATAAATGATACCTGCTGTTCTCAGTATGCTTCAAGAATAGGTACTAACCTGGACTACTCAGGCATGGAATAGAAAAGTTTTTGGTAAAACAAGTCAACCTCTCATTAAAAAATGAGAATTAAAGAAACAGACTTTATAAACACTAATGCTTATAAGGAAAACCACCTAACATTATGAAAGCCCAATGGTTCTATCTAGTGTTAGGCCATTAACTATCATATGTTGTTTCTGAACAAGGAGAGGACTGAAATTTGTTTTAGGTATTTCATGTGTTGTGATTACTATTTCTGAAGTTCGTTCTCCAGGGAGATGCTCCAGCTTCTAAGCAGTCAGGAGACCTCTCTTCCTGCAGTATGTCTGTTTTGTCTGATGACTGAGAAAAATTATCTACCTTTTTCAGGAGGGAGGGCTAAGAGATGGGGGGGGCAGGGATTTTTTGACAGATATTCATATTAATTAATCAGTAATTCCTGTAAAAGTCTGGTTTCATTTTCCTTTAATTCCATAGATTGAGCAATGTTGCTCCTATTACACACATTCTTTATGG